AATCTTTGTGGAGTTTGCAGCCACCTAACAAGGAAGTCCACTCCACCTCGTCAGGGATAAAGGGCATATTCCAGACTAGATCTTGGGCATCTCGCAAATGCCCGGCTCTACTTAACAAATCCACCATGCAACCATAGTGCTCCTTGAGAGGCCTCAGCCCGTGATCCCCAGCCATCGATCTAAAGCAGTCCCAGCCGTCCGATACCATGCCGCCGTGGCTGCATCCCAGCAGCACGCAGCACAGGGAGATCTCGTTGGGCCGGATGCCGTCCAGTACCATCGTACGGAACACATCCAACGCTCCCTGGAAGCGCCCGGCCCTGGCGTACGCTCCAACCAGGCACGTCCACGCCACCACGTTCCGTACGCCCATGCCGGCAAAGAAGCGCTGGGCGTCTTCCAGATTCCCGGCCAGCGCATATGCCCCTAGCATCGAGGCCTCGGATGCCGTGTCGTGATACGGCATCTCGCTGAAGATCCTCCGGCATTCATAGATATTCCTACCGTACGCGTGGGCTGTGAGCAGTGCCGTCCAGGAGAGGATGTCGCGCTCGGGCATGAGCTGGAAGAGGCGCGCGGTTTTCCGCGCGTCCCCAAGCCGGGAATATCCGCCTAGCATGGTGTTCCACGTGACGAGATTCCTGGCCGGCATCGCGTGGAAATAACGATTGGCCTCGTCAGCGCTGCTGGCAAAGCACACATCCAGTAAGATCGTCCACGTCACCACGTCGTACAGTGGCATAGCACGGAACACCGCCATGGCGTCCTTGAGCCGATGGTGTCCGTACTGTGAATATGCCCCTAGGAGAGTGCTCCATGTGATGAGATTCCTCTCTGGCGTGGCGTGAAAGAGCGCTATCGCCGAGTTTAAATCGCCGGATCTCATGGAAGAAGAGAGTGCCGCGTTCCAGGCCACCACGCTCCACTGTGGCATTCGATCAAACACAAGCCTGGCTCGAGCAAAATTTCCTTCTTGGGTATTTGCCGAGAGGAGGATGATCCACGACACAATGTCTCGCTCTGGAATTCGATCGAAGAGATCTTCCAGCTCGCGGATCCGGCCAAACTGGTCGTAGGCCGCGAGCATCGTGTTCCAGGAGATGACGCTGGGGAATCGAATGCCGTCGAAAATAGACTCCGCGAGATCCAAATCACCCGCCCTGGCCGCCGCCGCCACTGCCGCGGTGGAGGAAACCACATCCAATTGGGGCATCCTGGCCAGGATCGAGAGCGCACGAGAGAGATCTCTGCTGCTGGCGAGCCACGAGAGGAGGATTTGGCGCCAGGAGAAGGGATTCCTGGCGGGCATGGAGTGAAAGAGGGCGAGCGCATCGCGGATGCTGGAGCAGGCGCCATACATCTGGATGAGGAGATTGGAGAGAAAGATGCCGTCGGTGGACATGAATCGTGATTGCAGCACCTGGGAGTGGACATTGCGAGCATCGGCAATGTGGCGCACGGATCTGATCAGCCGGACGCACTCATCCACACACCGCATCCAAGAACCCTAAAAACAGAGTAACATTTTGGCGGGATCTCTTAACAATATACTTCTAGATGCTAAAATCATATTAAAACTTGGGGGTATAGACAGACTCCAAGAGAGATGGACGAAGATATATCATAGTGATTGAGAGCAAAAAGGGGATTTTTTTTCACGGGCATTTGGGCTCTCCCTCGTCGTTGCGGATGGCATCGTAGCACGGGCACTCTTTCTTGCTCGCTTTTGGGCCATTTGGAACGCAAAAGCACTTGCTGCAGCAGATGTTACACATCTTATTGCACATCTTGGGCTTCCACGAGTTAGAGCATCGGTACTTGCACTTTCCTCCACAATCTGCGAGAGAGAAACAAAGAGCCAGTCACTCTACTCGATCCAACCGACAAAAACTGGAAGCTAGAAACTAAAAGCAGTGAAGGATGCCTCACCGTATCCAGTCAACTCTCTGCTGCCAAGAACCACATTGCCATTCTGCAACGAAACAAGAGATTGTCAAAACACGAACTCAATCAGGCAATGCAGGTGGAGCTCACCTCGGCAATCACAAACATGAGCAGGACGAGAAATGCTAGCCACTTCAAAGCCAGAGCCATTTTGCTCGAACTCCTCCTTTCTCTCGCGAAGAAACACACCTGAGGACTCTGCGAGAAGAAACAATGAATGCTCTAAGTGGAAGAGAAGAGTGGCATTTTATAGTCAGGAATTTACCTCCCTGTGGAAGAATCGCGGCAGCTCAGGTCCCCCACCGTGTGAAGCTAGCTGTATAGTCAGCGTAGAATTAAATCTAAAGATTGTCTGTCTGCCATGCCATTGCCAGCCGGCTTTGCGATGGAAGGCTGCTCCATTTAGATATCTTTGTACCATATATCTATCTCGTATAGGCGCCTCTTTGTCTGCCAGATCCTGTAAAGGAAACAACTATGATCAAACTCTTTTATCTTTCGTCTCTTCGTTTGGGTTAACTCTATCAGACTAAGAAATGTCGGTTTACCTCGCAAGACGAATCACGTGTTGATGTCACGCCAAACGAGCGCTTGCCAGCACGAAGATATAGGTGCTTCCATCGCGACGAGCTTATCGGCGATTCATTGTTCTCTCCTATATGATACAGACATGCTGTGAGCTCGATGAAAATGGCAGCGAAAGATCCTTACAGAAGCCACATTCATGGAGATGCCGAGAAGACCACCTACTGGAGACATGGAGAACCTCCGTGTTATGACAACAGAGCCTTTGAGGAAGGTAGGAGAAAGGTAAGTCAGTCGCTAGATTGTGAGAGACGAGGTATCGCTCACCTTGCTCGAGTTCAATTGGATTGATGCAGGTATGGCCGAGTGGATCACTGGAAGAGATCGTTCAAAACCTCGTCAAGACGTGGGAGATGGAGATGAGCCACAAATGCCATGTCGAGGACGTCAAAACAGTCGATCATCAGCTCTTCACACTCGCGGTGAATGGTAGGCAAGAATTTCACAGCATCATCTTCTTCTGAGTTTCTTCTATGTAGGAAGAACATCAAAGCCAGTCGACGAAGTTGTGAGAACCGGAACATATAACATCTTACTTCAATCCGAAGCTCCCTGTGCATACTATGACTCCTCCAAAGAAAACTTTGAATCCTCACACCATACCTTCCACCACGCCTTCAACAATAAGTTTCCATGGGAAGTTCTTCAAGTGTACTCCGGACCTCCTGTTGTTGTCTTCAAGTGGAGGCACTGGGGAAGAATGAAAGGAGAATTTCGAGGTCATGCTGCTACAGGGGAATTAGTCGAGATCATCGGAGTTGCTGTTGCTACTGTGAATAGCGAGCTCAAGCTCACGAGTGTTGAAGTTTACTTCGATCAGGAGCAGTTCCTTAAGAAGCTGTGCAAAGGAAAGAAATCTTCGTTAGAAGATGTAAACGCAAATGCCGTCACTTAAGTGAAAGCATCCTTGGAAATCTTCTGTAAATTTGAACAGCTCATCGAAAGAAGCCATGAGACTTTTACCTGTATCTGATTTCTCTGCCTTTTGGAAGGCTGTGAACATATCAATGCTCAAAAAGTCCCTTTTTCGTCCAGCTCGGGGTGCGTAGTAGCCTTCCTTTCGCGATTACATACTTAACGTCCAGACTGCTTTGATCCAGCACTAGAACGTCTCCGTCGCTTCCAGGACTTAAATGACCTGCCAAAAACGTTTGCATATATACATATATATACAAACATGGAAGCTAGATGAATCAATAGTACCTTTGTGAGAAAGTGAAAGAAACTTGGCTGGATTCTTTGTGCTTAACGAGATGGCATTTTCAACTTTCCACTCGGCTTCTCGAATTAGCCTCCTGATTGTGTTTAGATTTGCAAGAGGCGAGGCAACCGCATACTTGACAAGGTTGCCTTTGCTGTCAAAGACTGGAAGAGAACCAAATGCGTCAGAAGAAATGGAAACAGCAGTGGTAGGCACATCTCTGTCCGCCCAGTCTTTAAGAGCGTCATAAGATGCAGTCTCGCCTTCTTGATCGGAGGTAAAGTCGACAAGGCCTCCAGCTTTTACCCACACTTCCGCAGCCTATAAAAAGGTTTGAGAACGTAAAAGCTACAAGAAAAGTATACCTTCACTAGTTCTGGTCCCCGATGAGAAACATGAGTTGGGATCATCTGCGTGAGAGGTATAGCTTCTCTACTCGCGTTGAAAACAGACCAAAGAGGGTCGAGCAGCGAAGAAGCACTGCCAACGTGAAAGTGAACAATTCCAGCTTTTCCCGAGAGCATCCCTCCAACTCTTGCGTCAGAAACAAGGTGTAAAAGTTCCTGCGTGAAACCACGTCAGAAAAGATAAGAAAAATTGTAGCTAATTTTACCTCGGTGCTCGGCCAGCTGCCACGATGATCGCTGATGGCAATTTCTCCGGCGCCAATTACTTCGTTGATAAGCTGAAGATCTCTTACTAAGTTGCCTGATAGATGTTTTGGTCGTATCTAAGCTGTACAAGAGAAAAAAGAATGGACAAACCTGTCAAAGTTGGAGATGGTACTCTATAGCAGCCACTCCACATATACGCTGTTATTCCTTCCTCTTGCAAGGCTTTGGCCTTTGTTCTTAAGTTCTCAAGGCTACAAGGAGCAAAAGAGTTATAATCCAGAAGACAAAGGAAAAAAAAAAATTGAAAAGAAAGGAGCATTTGCTCGAGAAAGAAAAAAAACGGAGAAGAGATGAGCGACTCATACCTTCTCGACACACAATCGGTGCCTAGGACTCCCACAAGCGTAGTGATGCCGGCTTCTAGAATCTCTGCTAGCCCAGCTTCCGGAGTTCTACTGGAAGGTCCCATCTCTCCACCACCACCAGTGATATGGACGTGCATATCAATCAAACCTGGCACGACAATGTCGCCCTCCACATCGATCACCTCGAGAAGAGGAATCCCTGTGAGGTTGATCCATGGAAACTGCTGCTCCGAGAACACAGCTAGAACGGATCCTCCACCTAGCAGAATGTGAGCCTTTCCAATCGGCTCTGGCGTGTACACCAATCCATTCTTGACCAGAATCATCGTGGCTTCTCGTTCCTCGCCGCCGATCTGGCCCGCTACCGCGAAATCCCACTCCACAATCCCCGGATCGAGAGACTTACACGATGTCCCAGATGACATAAGCGGCAAGAATGCCGCCAGCAGCGCTAGCTCCAAGAAAATCAGAGGTCCAGCCATTGTCCCGAGAACCCTAGCGCATGGAAGTGGGGCATCTTAAAAATGCAAGATATCTCATATACAAATTGCCACCCTCAAAGTTCACAAAAACAAGCAATGTTTGGAAGGGTGCTTGAATAAACACTATAGCTTAGATCCAGTCGTTCATTTTATTTGTTAGCATTTACCGCTACCTTTTTTTTTTGACTTCGAACTCGATCGTAATTGTACGGTCTTTTTAGTATCTTCTTAAGAATATTAATCTGATTATAAGATACGGCCGCTTGTACCTATTGGATAGCTTTTTCACGTGGGAGGGACATCATAATAAATATTGAGTACTTACTTACTGGCAAAGTGGAACATTAGCTTCAATGTGTTGAAATACCCTACTAGAGGGAATTTTACAATATGCATCTCTATATATTGGATGGGCAAGAAGCATAGTGTTAGCTGGGAAATTCCAAATTTGCTAAATGGAGTATAGTGTCTTAGTCTCTAGGATTTTGTATTAATTTAGAGGACTTTACTAGATTTTTTATTCTTTCACTTCACTTGTAAATTCTTTTTCCCACTTACTACATTTTCTTTTATTCCACAAGAGTTGCATACTTACACAAATAGTGAGAAACCATTGAAAAGATATGGATAAAAATTATTACATATATGTAGTGGAAGCTATTAAATAGAATGACGTTATTGATGAATAAAATATTAATTATATCTTAGAAAAAGAATCTGAGGTGGAGATGATGAAATATTATTTGTTTAGTATTTAGTTTTAATAATGTATTATAAATTTAAATTACTTAAATTTTTACTTTAAAATATTTATTATCTATCATTTGCCTCAATGATGAGTTATCAATTTATTCATTATATTTGTACCTAATTAAGTTACATAAAAAAAGTCTAAAAAGAATATTATACATGAATAGATGTCAATAGCGGAGAATATGTATCATGTCAATGCTACATTCTTGATCAAAAACTAAATTCAAAATAATATCAATACTAAACTTTTAAATTTTTTTTTGACAACAAAGTGAAATATTTTTATCTTAATATGCAAAAAAATGTAACTTTTTAGATAAATAAAATAAAATAATTAAAATGATATATTAAATAACATGTTAAAAGTTATAAAATATAGGTGGATAAACTAATTTAAATAGTTTTAAATTTTAAAATTAAAAAATATTGAATAAATTATTTTTATTGTTATGAATTTAAAATAATAAAATTATTATATTAATTTGATATATCTAATGAAGAACCAAATCTTATGCATATATTTTAGATAAGAAAGTGTACCACAACTCCTTGAGTGTTAATTTTAAGTTCTGTAAAAGTGTTTTTAATATAAAATTTATCATTAAAATGTCAAAGTAAATTACATGCAATAAGTGGTGTGGCCTTGGTAGTGGAGTTGAGAATGCTAGTGAAGTTTGGTGTACTATAGCAAAGAGTCATGCACTTATTAAAGCATTTGAGGATCTCATATTACATTTTTAGTGATGCATTATAGCATTGCATTTTAGCATTCTGGAGAGTCGACAGCTTCTAATTTCAGGTATTGGAAGAATTAATTCCAGGGATTGTTGAGTTCTAGTTCCAAGCATATTAGTTTTCTAGCCATATCTGAGATTCAAGTAAGCTCTTAAATAGGAGCTTGGCACTCAAGATGAGACTCAAGAGGAAGGGAGAACATTAGAGAGCTAGCAGAATCAGTTTCAAGGAAGAAACTGAAGAATAAACATGCTCCTAATTGGACAAGAGGAGAAGCCATAGCTTTGATTGAGCTCAAAGCATGCAGAGTGGACAGTTATGATTCATGGAAAGTTGCCTTTGAATGCTTGCTAACAGCAGTTTGTAGATAAGATACTGTTGAGAATCTAGCCACAAAGCTCACTTGGCAAGCCTCCAATGAGCTGGTTCCTGCTCAAGTCCGTGAAGACGAGATGGCTGCTGTTGTTCTTGATGCCAAGGTTTCAACTTAACCTGTTTCCAGAGACATCAAGCATGACCAGTGTTGAGAACAAACTTGGTGGAACAGAGCTTGAGAGCATGTCATTTTCTATGGAGCAAGTTTGGGAACTTAACAAACTTAGCAAGAGGTTCCAGCGAACTTTGACAGAGTGCTCAAAGATTGGAGCTTTTTTCGTCCCTCTCATATCCTTTCTCTACAGCCTGGAAGAGAATCCACTTTCTCATGCTCACTGAAAGGCTGCCATGAAATCAGTTATTATAGAGGTCAAGGGCCAGCAAACTTGGAGTGAACAAGCTACCTGGAATTGTTCCTTCAAGCTTGTTGCCAGGCATGCATAAGACTTCCACTCCTATAGATTTGGAGTGTGGAAGAGGAATGCTGTGGAAGAGCTTGTTTCTATCCACACTAAGAAACTTGAGGCTATAACTTCGACAAAGATTTGTTGGTAGTGAACTGGTGAAAGTGTTTTGTGCTACTCAAAGTTCCTCCAGCCCAGAGTGGAGGCCAAACTCTTGAGGAATCTCACTGCCAATACTGTTCTCAAAGAGCAAAAGCTGCCAGTTCCACATGGATCTCACTGCTCAGAGTGGAAGTGATGTAGAACACACTCTAGTGTCATCCCTTTTAGTATTTGAAAGAGATTTTTGATCCAGATTTGTGCAAATAGAATTTAATATATTTTTGTTTTGATGTTAGTGGATATACCTAAAATATATTTGAATATTCTGGGATATTTTACAATCTAATGGTTATTATTCAATTAGATTAATTTTGTATTTATAATATATAAACTTCCCTAAAAACTTTCTAGCATATTCTATTTTATTCTATCATCTAATGGTTGATATGCAATAAGATTGATCTTATGTTTATAATTATAAACTTCCATATGATCAATTGGATTAATAAATAAGAACAACACTACTATTAAACAAACTAAATGTTGCTGTATGAAACGTGTAGTAAATTATTCTTATTCTTACATAAAATATTTATGTTTTAACTGTCTCTCCATAAGATATGCAAGTGTGAATAAAATCACACATAAACTATATGAATTAGGAGAAATTTATGTGTTATACTTAAAAACATATTTAACTTTTTCTAAACCTAGCATGTGGGCGCATTAACTTAAATATAGGTGAGTAAATTGAAATATTTTGATACAGTGAGAATTGGCTTTCTTAATAGTACTGTTGTTCCTTTTTAGTATTATTTATTAATCCAATTGATCAAATGGAAGTATATTAGCTGAATAACTTGGCATAAGTACAAATGAAATCATAAACATGATAATAATCTATAAACACAAAATTAAATTGCATCAGATAGTAAGTTCAGAATATGTGTGAACTTCAGAGGATTGAACAATATCACATATCGTAATCATTTCCCAACTCCCATTTATGGATGAGAAGCTAGAAGAGCTAAATATAATAGGAAGTGTTTAGAAAATTTTATAAATTGTAATTATATATAAAAATTATAATAACAACCATTATATCCAAATATAATTTAGGGTATATTCTGTTAATCTGTGACAAGTTACCAATGATTCTACAATACTGTATCTCAAGGAAATAGAGCCAGGTTATAAAAGAATAAAAAGAAGACGTTGTTTGGTTTGAAGGGTGAAAGAGAAAGAGAAGGGCTGAAAGTATGTGACGGGCCATCAAGCACGTCACCAGATTCTTTGAGCGCCGAGGGTTGAGGAAGGGCAGAGGCGCGCTTTTCTCCCACCGATCCGCCCTAGACAAATCTTTTAGCTCCAGCTGCGCGGTGCGCAGGCGATGCTCGTCCCCTGCCGATCCAGGCGCCCTCGCGACCTCTTCGAGGATTGGAAGAAGCAATCGATCGTTCCAGCGGAGAAGCTGTGAGTGTTTTAGGTCTGTGGGCTTCTTTTCCCCTCATGCAAGCTCCTGGGTTTAACAAAGCTCGTATTGGGAAAAGCTCTAGAAATGTCGATGGTCGCGGCGATAGATAGGTTGATCCAAGATCGCAACATGGACAAAGATCCGGTCATCGCAGCGCCGCCGCCACGCTCGCCGCCTTACGGGCTGGTCAAAGAGAGAAGGTTCTACCAGGATGATATGGTCGGAAAGACGCTGAATGACAAGCAAGCTCTGGTGGCCGAAGGAAAATCGCCTTCTACTCCCGCTGCTGCTACTCCTCGCAAGCTTGGTACTCCTTCCGGCTATGGCGAAGATTTCTTCTTCGATGCTCCAGAGTCTCCATTCGCAGGTAAGTCTTTACTTCTTTGCTTTACTACTTGTTCTATCTCTACTCGTTTGAGATTTTCGTTCTCTCTTTTTGTTCTTCTACTTGGTGTTGGTTTGAGATTTTTTCCTTCGATTTTTCGCACTAGTGCTTATGCGATTTTTCTCACAGGCAGTGAGACGTCATCCCAGTGTGACTACTCCGGAGTGGAGAACTCCACGGCTCTGGCAGAGGCTACCGCGGACTCGGCGAAGCATCAGCAAGAGATGGAAGAGCTCGAGCGATACAAGAAGGCGGAGGAAACGCTAGAGATTGTTCTCCAGAAGCTAGCAGACGGTGGTTTGGCGGTGCCACCGACGCTACTCGAGAGGAATGGAGGAGCGCTAGAAGTGGAGGACTTGGACATAGTCGGGCAGCTCCAGATAAAGAAGATGGTGGAGGCGGCGGTGGCGAGAGGGGCTGCCAAGGCCGAGTGCGAGGAGCAGCTCCAGGCGGAGCTGGAGAGCAAGAACACGGAGATCGAGACCAAGAACCGCGAGGTGACGAGGCTGCGGGACAAAGTTCGATACAACGAGCTCCTCAACCGGGAGATTTCGCAGAGAAACCAGGAAGCCATCGGTAAGTTCGTTGTGTTAGATGGATCTCATATGCAAACTTTCGTTCTTTCTCTTCTTTTTTTTCGCTAGAAATGGCTCGAAGCAAGCGTAGAGCCAGGAAGAGGATGATCCGGTGGGCCGTGGGCTCAGCCTCGGCGGCCATCGTGGGTGGCATCGGTGTAGCACTTGTGTACAAGTACTCGTCGTGGGAATTTTTGAGAGCTAGCAAGCCTGAGGCG